TTCTGCTGCCAGTGGTTTATTTATTCAGGCAATACATTCCAGATTTGAAAATCTTACAAAGGTAAATTTAGCGAAATAATGCAGCTTCCTTTCACTTTTACAAAGATTACTATAGCACAAAGTTGCAAGTTTAGGAGCACCCAGCGAGAATTGGATGCACAACAGTAGTAATGGCCTTCAATATTAGCTTGTTAACTAATTACTGTTCTATTTTCACCTAAATTTCACCTGATACAAGGCTCAAGAGCCACTCAATAGAGGGTGACAGTCAAAATGGTACTGCTGAATGAGGTGTGATGTGAATTGATAATGGCTTTAATATTCAAGTTGATTTGTTGGTCATTATTGTCATTTAAGTTTGGCTTAGTCTGGTAACATACCACAAAATATGGGACCTTCAGAATCTAACTCATTCAAGTTAGAATGGTCTACAAGATCAATCAAGTCACTGCTCCAAAAGTATTTGGTTATTTAGTAGAAATGCAACAGATCTAAGAATTAGAATTTGAGAACTTCAAGGTGATAAAATGACAACAAAAATTCATTGTTAGTCACTTTGTTATGCATAACATCTGAACAAAAAAGCATTTATGGTTTTTCTGTCGTGTAGACTTAGGTACGAGGGTATGTGCTTTGATGGAAAGAATTTTTAATATTGTTAGTTTATCTAAAATATGAAAACAAGCAGATAGTCACCCCATGGGAATCTTTAAATATCATATAATAATTGTGCTTGTCCCTTCCTTCCATTAATTCCTTAGTTTGCACGACCATTATGCCCTGCCAGTACCTCATAATGGACTATTCCATTTTGATCATGTAGAAAGAGGGGAAATGATACTACTCATTTCAGTGAGAAAATGAAAGAAATGGAACATAGAAGTGTTTAACATCTCCTGCCAATATTTCATAAATAATGGATTATTCTGTTTTGATTGCGAGGTAAAAAAGAAGTCATATCAGTGATGCTACTTGGTTTCAGTGAGAAATTGAATGAAAGAAAGAAGTTTAGTGAAATAGTAAAAGTTGTCAATTTCAAATCTTTTCATTTGTACCCACATCTTAAAATATTTGATTGTTATTGTGATATTTTGTTAAAGCTGTTAAGCTCAAATATTTAATAATATAATAGGGGAATTTCTATGGATATTTTATTGTTGTAGAACTCGCCATGAGCTTATTCAATAATTAACTGAAGAATTAAGATTCATCAGTAAATTAAAATAGGAAAACTGAAAATTTTCACAGGTCTTTCTAGTGTAAATAATTCGCCGATGCAGGGGAGATAACTCTATATTAAAAGGTTACAGGCAATAAAGGCAAAACACCTTGTCATATGAGAAGATAATCATTATCAGTCTCAGATATTGAGACAGAAGATTTGTGTATATATTTAACAATCTATAATGCATTCAGTATAATGCTAATCTTCACTCTCTAGAAACGATATGCAAGTTTGGTTATTATCCTTTGATCACTGTCTAGCGTTTTGTCTCTCGTCTTCTCTTCTGTAAGACAACATCTAGTGTTAGGGATATATCCTGATGCCTCTGGCAAAAGTCAGGTGGTCTGAACAATATTTTCTTTATGCATCCCTGGAGTAACATATTAAATTTGATAGTGATGTCTTTGACCTCATAAGGAAGCAAATTAATTTAGTCGTTCATTTTGAGAGAAATCATTGTGGTCTTTTCTAAAAGCATTTACAGCAAAAAAAAAACTAAACAAAACTCTACATCATGTCACCTGCTATTTAACAATCTTGAATGCAACTGAAGTGTTTCATTCTTAAATTTCAGCCTTCTCTGGTCAAGAAGACATTGCAGTGTTTAGAAGCAATCCACCTGAGTCAGAGTGGAGCTCTTCTCACGTTGCTCATAGACAAGTTCTTGCACACACACCACCTGGCTGTGGCACGCATCTGTGACACTATTGCTTGCCGCAGACTGGAAACACTACTGGCCGAAGTTGTTGAGGTAAGTCATGTTGGTTTTTTTCCATATTTTATCATGTAATATCTTTGTACACAAGGAATGTAAGATTATTAAATGTTAGTCCAGCTTATATGGAAGTGTCATGGGTATGTCATAAGAACCAATCATAGAGTATCACCTTATCGAAAAGAAGAGACAAAAAATGATCTGACAATGTTACTAGTGGACTAGATGACCCTTTACAAAAACTCCGACATTGGCTCATATCTGAGACATATGAAAGGGAACTGCACAGTGACCCTATGTCCACACCCGTTCATGGGACTGATGATGGTAGCTTTATTATATTTTTTTTTTTCTCTCATCATAATATTCTGGGTCAGTAGATGGTGCAAAATTAGTATGAAAATTAGTGTAAAAAAAGTAGCTTCCAATGAGACTTGAAAATGCATCCCCATAACCACTTTGGTCACAAGTCTATGGTCATTCTATCAGCATCAGTTTTCAATTCTTTCTTTTCATTATTTTACAACCTAGTGATAGTTGACTGAAGCTGTTCTTTTTTTATTTGAAAGCAACAATAAGATGTCAAAAAAACTTGTAATAATGGTTTTAATGAAAGTGTTTCATGAGTTTAATAAACTTGGTTAAATGTTACCTTTGGTAATATCTGCTCAATATGTCATTTATTATTTATTAAATTTATTTTATAATTATTTGCATATGTTAATTTCCACTAAGCTTCATTATTATTAATATTGTTAAAATATTTTTATAATACTCTGGCTGATGGAAAAAGAGTGCTGATAAATCATAGATTCTTACCTGTTTATTCATATTTTAAGAAAACTCAGAAAATGATTAGTTAACAGTTGTTTCCCCTTGGAAAGACATTTTTTTTTGTCAATTTATATTTAATTAAACAGGTGGTTTGATTAGATTGGAAATTATTTTATCCTTCAAGTTTTAGAGCATTTTAACAGTTTTGTACTAACAAAAATTGCAGTACAATATGCTATTTTTATGGTAGCCAACACAGAAATTGGATCATTATGTCAAGACTGACAATAGGCTGTAAGCGATCTGGGATTGCAAAGGAAATATTTGTTGCAGATTACTTCCACAACACAGAGTATTAATCACTAAGTTCAGATTTGAATATTGGGGCCAAGAAAGAAATGCCGAAAACTTGATTCGCAGGTACTATCTCACAAATCACAATGCCTGCAGCCAATCAGAAAAATAACTTGCTCTCCAACAAATGCAGTAGCCAAAATGCCCAAATTTTTTCTTTCCGATTCGAGAACGCCAACTGCTTTTATCGGCTGAGCATTTTTTCTATTCGTCGACAACTGGGAGAGGACGCCCAATTTTTGCATATCAAAATACTTTTACACCAACTCTGGTGATGGACTTGTTTTTAATTTACATATTCCATCTTCAGCATGTCATGCAGAATACGTGCCCTTTTTCTTTTGTTAAGTAATTTTCTTTTTCGCCACATTTTCTGTCGTAGGATACATGCGACGTGCTGTCGCTTGGTTTGATGAGGTAAGTCGATGTTTTCTTCGCTAACAGCTTTTTGCTATTACTACTGCTTAAGCAGTAACTTGGTTATAGAAGAGTGATAAGTAGCGTGAATGATGAAATAGTTGGCTTCTCAGTAGACCTTTGGGGACAGGCCAGTGGCAAGACTACTCCCACCTGAAGATATTTGGCAAAATTGACAGAACAAGAATATAGATTCATACTCTTCTTAGGAGCATCAGTTTGGAGAGAATTTGAACTCTTACTGTGAGATTTGTTTTTTATTCTGATAACCATCATACATCCTCATATCGGAACACACACACACGTTATAGCTACTTTTTTTTATTAATTGAATTCATCCCATGTAAGGTAGTAAAGCCACTAAGACAGAAGGGGTAACTGGGTGTGAAAGAATTAGAAAACAGAAGCATTATTGAGGAACAAGAACAATAGCATAATCAAGAAGACCATAGATAATGATTGACATTGCATGTAAGTTTTGGAAGATCAAAGTTGGCTGGAAAACAAGAGTTTCACAAGTGAGTAGTGTGAGAAAAGAAATTGTTAGCATAGAACGTACTGTTACATATAGCAAATTCAACTACATAACTTACATCTAGCCAAATTGATGAGAACTTGTTGCCAATCTAGTACTGTGCTTAAATTCAAAAAGTTTAGGCACCATAGCAAGGAGCCCATCAGAATAATTACCAAGAAAGTATTTATAGAAAAGGCACAGGGAAAAAACTTTACAGTGGTGAGAAAGTGACTGAAGTCAGATGCCAGGTCAGGACAAATAATATTGCTGATTCGTCTTTGGATTTCATCAGGAATCTCGAAATATATAGCAGGAACACCAGACCATATGTGGTAGCCATATTTATTTAATTTTATTATTGAAGACTTTTTTATTTGTATATGATTATTGTTTTCTATTAAATCAATGACCATTTTTTCCTCTTTTAAATAGGAGAGCAGTAACCAGTTACCATTAGAAGATCTTGAGAAACTGGTACAATTTATAAAAAATAATGGCCTGGCAAAGCGGTAAGATTGATTCTTCCTAGATGTGTCTCTCTCTTTCAATTTACTAATTTAACAAGAGGAGGCAGAATGACTGGTTCTGTTGAGAGAGTGTGAGTTAAATCCAAAGGTCTTCAATTCAATCCCAGACTTTTGCATTGAATTCTGTTTCAAGTAAATGATGCTTTATTAGTTTTTCTCCAATGGATGTGATGGATTTAAATATTAATGAAAGAGTGTTAGGCTGAAGCTCTAACGGTCTCTAGTGACATCTCAGTTTTTTGCATCAGTATTGACTTTCAAACCATCTGTATTTTTTTTCTTTTCTTTCAAGGACGATGAGCTTGGTTGTTAACATCTGCTGTGACAATAATTGAATTTACTTTAAACAGATGGCTGGGCACAAAGGTTTTATTAATAAGGTTTATAAAAAGTATTTTGATTTTCTCATTTCTCAGAGTTCATGAGGAACCTCTCAAGTGTTCCTGTATATTTCTTAATATATCGTATGCTTATGGCCATATTATGTTGACACACTGCCTCCCGTATGATCACTGAAGTTAAGCAATGTAAACCCTGTCAGTACCTAGATGGATGACTACCTGGGAATACAAGGTGCTAAAAGCTTGAATGTAAAGGTAGTGTAATGGGTAATTGTTAATCAGAGAGCCGAGTTCCAATTCTAGTTGGGATCATTATATTCACTTACATGCAAATAACCTTGGGAGGGGGGCAGTATGTATCTACCTTTTCTCCCACTATTTATGGGTTAATTAGTAAGACTTGTATTGCTAAATCATTATTTCCCCAAAAAAAAAAAATTCTAATCTAAAAATATTTTCTGGCTTTAAATAACCAGCAAAAGGTTGGTAATCAATCAATCAATATGGTATCTTTCAATCAATATGGTATCTTTCAATGATCCCAGCTCTTCTGAGATTTTACAAGTAGTCAAGTTATCTTTCATTTTAAAGCATTATAATGAAAAAATTAGGATTGTCCTTTTAAGAGTCATCGCCATTAAAATGCTTGAACCATATTTTGGGTTGTAATAATCAGCTAATTTTTTTCTTACTCTTCAATTTTGAAAACTCCTTCAGGAATGTTTTAATAAAGATGAAAAATTACCAGAATCTCCATTATTTGTATCTGGTATTATACCTGAAACAAAAAAAAACAAGAACAGCTGGTTAGTATTGATAATTTTATAGTTGAGTCATAACTAGTTTTACAAATCTCTGGAGTCAGGATGCTGAAGGTAACACCAATCAGTTAAGAGACAAACTTTATATTTGTATTTTTATATTATATATATATATATATATATATATATATATATATATATATATATATATATATATATATATATATCCAAATAAAAGAAAGAACAGATGGAGTAAAAAAAAAACACAGTTTGTAGCATTTATTTTTTTTAAAAAGTTTTCAATACAGTTATGATCAATACAATTTCCTACGATCATTGGATGACATGTCCAAGCATCAGTTTATCTTGACATGAAAAAATAACCCACCCACCTCCACCTTCTTACCCTATTTTTCTATTTTAGCATAGATCTGACATTTAATTGGTTAATCTAGACATACCCACAAGTATATTTTTAATTCTGACCCTGTGACCCACTTTAACTTCTGAAAAGAGGTAAGTTTTTGGAATTTCCCTAATAAATCATTTTTATCACAAGTTATCTACGATCGCCTGAGAAAGTACAATCATAGTATTGAAACATGGAAGCTTTTGTGTAGTGATGTAAAATGTTTTTATTATAATCTATTATAATAATAATAATAATAATAATATATATACCTAAAATTTATTTTAGGTTATTAAGATGTTATAAAAAAATCGCTACACAATTACAATTGTTTCAACACCATAAATGTGTCTCTTCAGCTGGTGTTAAACTACTAAAGAGGCACATTTATGGTGTTGAAACAATTGTAATTGTGTAGTAATTTTTTTTTTTTTTTTATATATAACATATTTTAATATCCTAAAATAAATAATATTTAGCTCTATTATATATTGAACCATCTTTTAAATTAAATGTTATGTACAGTGGTATAATACTCCATTTGTTCTCATTTTACCTGGAGATATATACGTAGCAAGGTTTTTGAATGTCTGATTTCTGACTGCAAGACACAGGTTTGAATCTTAGCATGGTTGATTTGTCAGGGAGATTGCTTCTTGATGTTGATGGCTTGGGTAGGCAATCCTAGTGTACAACCATTCTGAATGAATATAAAAGCTATCTGCTTAAATGTAAATACTCTAGTTCCCACAAATATAAAAACATTGTTTAAAGATGTTGACCCTGGCCAGATAGTAGGTTTTCTAAAAAGAAATAGGAATTTTTAAATATCTTTAAAAATTGTTTATGTGCAGGTATATAAGGAGGACTAGTTTAAATGGTTCAAATTGACAGATTAAACAATCTATTTAAAATGAATTGCAGCTACCAAACTGAGCCCATCCAACTAATGGAAAAAGGGAAAAAAGAAAAGTATATGTTTATGGAATTTATGTGTTCACCTAGTTGGTGTAAAATGACTCCTCAGGGTTGAAATATATATATATATATATATATATATAACTTTTTTTTCGGTAAGGTTCTTTCCTGATTGTGTTCAGTTTTGTTGTAGGTATTATCTGTTTGGTATGAACTGTGATAGTAGATATTTATTTCAAAGTTATTATAGTAGATATTTACTTCAGAGTTACTAAAAATACAAACATCATCATGTCCACAAACAGAACCCAACTTAACCAACATGGTGGTGGTGGATCCAACCAATGGTATAATGTATGTGGGAACCTTACTGTAAAAAAAAAAAAAAAAAAATGATAGCATGTATGTGGGAATGTGTCTATATATGTGTATGTATGTGTAAGTAAATGTGAACTTATCTGACAGGGCAGACTACATGAAAAACGTCAAGAACATCCCTACCCATTCTTTGTTAAGAGAACATCTCTACATATGTAATGCTAAGGTCTCTACAATATATATGCACGCTCGAATGCATGGATGTGTATCTGCGCATAAATCAGATTTATATGGGTGTTTTTGTACAAACTAAAATGTATACACCTGTATGTATGTATGTATGTATGTCAGTCAGAGTGTCATCGCAAGCAAACACAGAAGATAATTTCCCCCCTCCAACACACAAATAATCAAGCATAAATAGATCCCTTTTTATTTTTTATTTTTTTTTAAATAAACCAGTTTGTTTGATGATCACAAAAGCGTGAAACCCAGGGTTACAAACTAATATCCATACAACTGAATATATATAGGCATTAAGTTTGGGGGCACATTTCATTTTTTTTTAAAAACTCCTTAAAAGGAGATATCTTGTATTTTTTAAAGTAAAAGATAAAATTTCAGAAACTCCAGTGTATTTGCTTTTATTTTCTGTTCTCCAGGCTCCTCTTACTACCAAAATGTTATTCATTTGTTCACAATATATTTTGCTAAACTATGAATATTTTGTAGGAGAAACATGTTTGGTTTTCTCCATTGGACCCCCCACCCTTAGACATTTGAGATTACAAAAATGTTCAAGTGAGTTAAATGTTGATACAGTTTCTATATGTTAACTCAGCACTGATTAATGTTGGAAACAAAACATATGTAGCTGTCTCTGTTTGAAGAAAAAAAAAAGGTTGTGCCATTACAGCAGTATTTTCATAGTTTTAAATTTATTTTTTAATTTTGAAGTAATTTGTACAAAATGGCAAAATCAAAGCAGCTAAGCACTGAGGTGAGAGCACAAATTGAAATGTTATTCAAAGACAAATTACCAAGAAGTTGAATAATATTAGACATGTGGTGCATAGATTACAAAGGCAATTAGAAACTGGTGCAAATGTTGACAAAAGGGATGGAGCATCAGAAGTGACAACTGCAGTTGAATATAAACAATTGATTGAGAGCAAAAGAAGTAGGTAAAATGCCCCATAATTGACAGCTGAACTTAATTCCTCTCAACAGCAACCATTGGCAATCTCAAGTGTGAAAAATTATAGAAGGTGAATCCACAAAATGTATGTTATTGGAGAGAAAAAAAAAAGCATTAGATCTGGACACTGAAAGAGAACAGAATTTGAACTTTTTATTGGTAAAAGGAGAGTGTACCTTCAAAAAAGTGTAATCTTTTTCAGTGCTTGAAGAAAGCTTGGGAAGGGCTGTCATCTACCTTTCTTTTTTTTTTTTTTTTTTTTGTTTTCAAATAAAAGTAAGTACATTGTAGTTATTGAAATTTTATCATTTACTTTTAATAAAAAATAAAAAATATCTCATTTTAAGGTGTTTTACAGAATTGCAGGGTGCTCCCAAATGTTTTGCCTGTAGTGTGTGTGTGTGTGTGTTTAAATAAATATATATTATAAACTGTTTCATACACACACACACACACACACACACACATATATATATATATATATATATATATATGACAAAATGGAAAGAGTGTTCACGTGATATGTTTTGTCCTTTAGGACTTTGCCACACTAAGCAGTCCTAAAGAATAATACGTCACATGAAATTTTTTTTTACCCCCTTTGTCATACATGTTTCTCCCAAAATTGTTCTTGATATATAAAAATTTATATATCATTATCCCATATATATATATATATATATATATATATATATATATATATATATATATATATAATTTATTTATACACGTTTTATATTTTCATATATCCACACGTATAAGTATTTTAATATATTTTTTGCTTATACGTTATTTTTATAGATATAAGTATTTAAGTAAATACTCTGTTTATAATAAACGGTATTAACATTTACTGGCCTGGATGTCTGAGAAATCACAAAGAAAAATTTGTGTCCTTCAGCAGGAATGAAACCTGTATCCTAAATGGAACCACCATATAGCTTGATGTGCTATACCATTTAGCTACAGAGGAAGCATCTGGTTAGAAAGGTTAAATTACTGTTTTTGAACTACAATCTTCCCATGATTCCTCTTGAACTCTCATATCTGCTCAAAGTGTATCTTAACATAAACAAATAACATAATGAAATGGACTAAGTCTGAAAATTATTTTAATGTATTTTTTGCTTATGTTATTTTTATAGATACAAATAATTAAATGTTCTGTTTATAATAAAAAGTATTAACAGCTTTTAACCTTCCTAACCAGACACTTCCTCTGTAGCTAAATAGTATAGCATGTCATGCTATATGGCAGTTCTGTGTAGGATACAGATTTGATTACTGTCAGAAGACGCAAATTTTTCTTTGAGATTTCTTGGACATTCAGGTCAGTAAATGTTAATACTGTAACATTATAGTATAAGCAAAAATATATATTAAAATAATTGTCAGACTTAGTCCATTTCATAATACATATATAAGTATATGCATTCACACACACACACACACACACACACACACACACACACACACATATATATATATATATAATGTGCATGTGTAACTGAATAATGAAATAGAAAACACCTATGCATTTCTACCTCAAAATGACTTCTCCAGGCTAATGTTTTATCCATGGAATCTGATACACACATACACACATATATATATATATATATATATATATATATATATATATATATATATGTGTATATATATAAAAATTCTGTCTAAAGATTTCCTTTTTTCCTTTTTGGGACAAAATGTAATGTAATGGATTTTTCTATTCAATTAACCACTATTAGTTTTTTTATATATATATAATATTACATAATTTTCTTTCTTTTTAGCCATGCCAGGTTAGCATCACTGTTGAGTAAATTCCATCAAGTCCTTAGTCCTTCAGGCAGTTGTAACTTGTCTCCTGAAAGGACTCACCCCCTGTCATTACCAACTCCTCCTGTGGTGCAGATCTCAATAGACAAAGTGAGTATTATGTCAAATTGTCAGCCATAAACACTTGTATAAATTTTTTTTGTTTCAAATATTGGAATAATATATATATATATATATATATATATATATATATATACAATTCCAATTATATTGCACATACGGTGATAAATTGACCTGATGCATATTTTGCATCAATTTATTTTTAATTAAATATGAGGTAACAAATGAAACAAAAAGAAAAGACAGAATCTTCTTCACGGTTAAATCTCTTATAGTATTCTACTTTGACAGAAATCCTATCAAATCATTAGCATTTTGCTAATGACATGTTACAATTTAGAAAGAAAAAGTTTTTTTCTGCTGTATGAGAAAATAAAAGAAAGAATTAAATTTCTTCTCAGTATTTGAAATTTTATTTTATGAATTGCATCATTATCATAATTTTTAATGTTTTGATACATTCTCCAATTTTCTTCAGGTATGGGTTGCATCTGGTAATAAGAATTCCATTGTGTTACTTTTCCTAGAATTCCATTGTGTTACTTTTTGTTAGAATTCCATAGTGTTACTTTTTGTTAGAATTCCATAGTGTTACTTTTTGTTAGAATTCCATAGTGTTACTTTTTGTTAGAATTCCATAGTGTTACTTTTTGTTAGAATTCCATAGTGTTACTTTTTGTTAGAATTCCATAGTGTTACTTTTTGTTAGAATTCCATAGTGTTACTTTTTGTTAGAATTCCATAGTGTTACTTTTTGTTAGAATTCCATAGTGTTACTTTTTCTCTCAATTCCTCTCATGTTGTATTAACTTTTATCAGTCTGTGCAGAAAAGATATTGTACTGCATTTGGACTAGCTTAGAAGGTTACTGGAGCCAATATACAGTTAAGGAATTGTTAGTGAATGTCTTCATCTTGTCTCTGACAAAAAGTCTTCTAAATAATGGAATAACTATAATACTGTATCATGAAATCTCAGTTGACATTTGATTTCTCCTTTAGAAAAGGATAAAGAAACTTTTCCTTTCTATATTACTAATTCTTTCTCTTCCACAGATTTTCTCAGCTGATTTTGTTTGTTCAGTTGCTGCTTCATTGTTAAAGCTGACTTTATTTTTTTGCACCTGAGTATCATTACAATCTCCACCACTGCTGATGCGCATTACCAATTAAAAAAAGAAAAAAATATGAAATCAGAAGAAATGAATTGTCTGCCCTTGGTTATCTTCAACATTAGTTTATTTACTGCAGCAGGGGCAGATCACTGTTTTCTCAATGCAAAAGTTACTTTATTTTTGGAACAATTAGTGTTTTTTTTTGGGGGGGGGTGACATTTCCTGTCTTGCAATTTTTTATTAATCGAATATAATTTTCAGTTGTGTAAACAAAAAAAATTTACAAAAAACAAATAACAAAACATGGGTTAAAAAAATATAAAAAATTATTTTTAAAAATCTACTTTTGTGCAGTGGATTTCAAAGCCTAGTACAATGCATAACTCTATATCAGTCTTTACACATATGATGTGTCATTTTGTTTTCCTTTAGCCACACAGATGGTGTGTCATAGCAAAAAAAACTTCTGGGTTGTCTGTTTTTGAGGGAGGAGAAAAAAAATGTAAATTATCCTTTCAAACTAAATAGTTTCTGGACACTGATTATTTTTTTCTTTTTACAGTAAGATTCACCTTGTATAAGGCCTGAGGGCCACTTGAGGTAGCAGGTTATGTTAGGAGGCAGTTTGTATGGATAGGAGAGGAAGGTAATGGTTAACCCTAGACTTGAACAGGTTAAGATTGTAGTAAATGGGAGAAACATCCTCTTGAGAGCAGGGGATCATCGAAAGAAGCTGTTCAAGTGGAAATATGGCGGGAATGTGGGTGTTTTGCTATGATGTGAGTGGCATGGTCACTCTGCCATGATGGTTAGACCTAGCAGAACCAAGAAATAAGGAATGTACTTTATTTGAGCACTTTCTATGAAAGCAACGATATAACAGCGATATCCCGCTTGTGAGAGAGAAGTTGGAGTGTGGAAAATAATTTGTCACCGACACGGACTCTGTAATGTTTTCAGACTCTATCAATGCTGGAGAGTGAGGACTGGGCAGTTGGTAGGAGGAATACCTATTTAAATCCCTGACACACAGACAGAACTGAAGTACACTACTCTCAATAAATGGAGATTTTCATCCTTTGCATTCTCATTTGTGATTGAGAGAAATTTCTGCCATTTGCAACTGATTCATTGAACTGCAATGATTGAAATTCCTAGCATCTGCAGTTAGTTGTATGGTATTTCTCAAAGGGCTTATGGCCATATCACTTTGAAACACCGATTCCTGTACGATCACTGAAGTTAAGCACTATTGAACCTGGTCTGTACTTAGATGGGTGACCACTTGGGAATACCAGGTGCAGTGAGCTTGGATGTGTAGGTGTAATGGACAATGGCTTGGAATTGTTAATTGAATAGTTCCAATTCATGTGGACTTTGTTATATTCACTTACATGCAAATACCCTCTTCTCCCCCAGCTATGGGTTAATTAGTGAGTTTTGTATCACTAAATCATTATTATCTCCAAAAATAAAACTTCTTACAATCTAATTAATTTTCCGGCTTTAAATAACCTGCAAAGAGCTGATAAATCTTAGAAAACGAATTAATCATTCTCAAAGACACTATATTTTTCTTAGACCTTTTGGTAAGTTTACTTTTCATCTTTGAGGCTGAATATTACATTACTTATTGTCTTATGTTTATAGATATTTGATATTAGACAGTCCTTCCTTAAGATTCTTCTTCACTTAGTACATTGGAGATCATGGTTCTCCACAATTTCCTGTTCATTCAAGCTCTTAATATTTTTTTTTTTTGTTATCTCTTCTCTAACCCTGTTCATTTACTCATGCTTGCTAGGTAGGTTATATGTTGTTGTCCTCTTGTCTTCAATCTGTTCTTTGAGTATCAAATTTTTCAAACATTCTTTCCTCATTATGTGCCCTAGAAACTGTCTCTTTCTGATGTTAAGTAGATCTCCTTTTTTTTTTCCATTTTCTCTAAAACTTTGTCATTGCTCACATGTTTGGGCCATGAAATTCACAGCATCCTTCTGTAGAACCACATTTCTGTTACTTCAAGTCTCTTGTTCATCTGTGAAGAGATGGTCCAGCATTCACTGATATTATGTAACAGTTTAGTACTCTTTTCTTAGTTTCTAACACAAATTTTCCTGTTTCTTAATACTTTGCTTAGCTTTTGGAAGGCATCTTTCACTATCACAATGCGCTTTTGATTTTCAGTGTCACACTTTCCATCCTCTGTTAAATCACTTCCCAGATATTTAAATTGTTTTACTGGTTTGATTTAGGTATCTACAATTTCTAATTTGCATGTTAGACTGTTTTAACTGTTCTGTTATATAATAAATAAATATATAAAATAATAATTGTCCATAAGCAGTATCTTTGTGACTTTTCCTTGTTGTCTTTTTTTTTTTTGCTATCTGCATTGACTTGTGACTTTATAATGAAATATCTCCATGACAAGAACTATACCTTTTTCCTGCGATTCATTCCAGGTCAAGTCATTTTGAAAATTTTATTCCTTAGATATGTGGATAAGTCTTATTGCAATCACATAGCAGCACTGAAGAGCATAATATATTTAATTATACCCCCCTTCTCCCCACTTAAAAAAAAAAAAAAAAAAAACATTTATTTCTTTAATTTATCCAGGTTTTCATTTTTTCCATTTTATATAACCTTTTACCCTTTCATTTCAGGAGTGGTACTTATCAATGGTGAAAGACCAGTGTTTCAGTGCCGAGCCAAACACAAGGGAATGTGCTTTACTTTTGCAAAAATTGGACTATACTGATATATTATCAGTCATTATGGCAAAGGTACATTATTGGTTTCTTTTCCATATCATTTTATATGCAGATCACCTAATACGCATTTTATATGCAGATCTCCTAATACGTATGGCTTGATTCGTTTTCTATTCTATATATATTTTTCCCCCCACTCTTTGATTTATTGTTGTTTACATTTTTTGATTCTTAAACCAAATTAGATATCATCTTAATCTCTAAAGGAATATGGAGGGAGTTTTTTTTTTTTTTTTAATGACGCTTCCTATTCTGAATCTGTTTTTTTACTTTCCTCTTCATCATTCACATTGTTCCCCCCCCCTCCAATATAATATAAATGAATCCAAAGAAACTTGTCTGTCATGTCATCTTGTTTGCCTTTTTTGTTTATTTCTTGTGATTTATATGCTTCTGCAGGAATTTAGCCCGTCCATCTTAAAGGAATGCATCTCTCTCGGCACTCTGTACACGCTAGAACGGTATCGAATGGAAGAGATCTCTTCGTATTTCCGCGGTGAATCTATGGCTTCCTCCCTCTCTACAGATGTTACTTATGAACCCTTGTTTCAGGCTGCTCAGTTGATGCTTTTCCGACACATCAACAGTGTTATTAACATGCTTCCAGTGCCACATCAGGTAGGAATGTCAGAATCAATATTTCTTCTCCTTCGTTTACAAGTCTTCTCATTACTATGCTTTTTCTTCTCTTTGCTCCAGGGCCAGCGCCATATCCGAGACGAAGTGGGTGATTGTTTAGGGTGCTAAAATTCTGTAAAGTTACTCTAGTGGTTCCCAAATGTTGTGGCACACTTCATATGTGCCGTAGAAGAGGATAGCAAATGAGGTGGAATGTTTGAAAGATTTAGAAACAGTTTCAAAAAATTCATATGCCAAAAATAAATATGATTTCAAAATTTAAAATATTATTATGGATTACTTGTAATTGCATGCATGAGTCCCAATATAAATAGTTATTGACTGATTTTATCATTGTGATATTTTTGCATTATATCAAGTATTAACAAAATAGTAACTTGGGTCAGCAAATTGGAGCAGAGAGTTATCAATGACTTTGAATCTGTGATTATCTCCCTTTAAAGCTCTCTTATTTTTAAATGTACTTTTTATCACATAAAATTTGGTGAGGCATGAACAAATTTTCATTCCAAAAATGTGGCCTAGAGAAAAAAATTTAGGGAACCACTGAGTTAATCTGTACCATGATAATGAGAAAACAAGATTTATTCTCTCATGCATAATGTTATAATTTATTAAACTCTGAAGTTTGTCACACATTGCCAGCCATTGGGTGTGTGGCTTTTGAGGTCTTCTCTGAATGTGGATTCTATGTTGTTATGAGGATGTATAACACTCTACTCCCCCTTGGTTGGGTTTTTATATATTTACCTGTCATACAGTTTTCTCTGCACATGCACATAAATAGATTGACCATGTGTTTACATATTGGTGGCAGCCACTGAAATTGGGTCAATACAGATCTGCATCTGGTGATTAAGAGGACATCTTTTAGGTCATTTTGCTTTTATAAACCTGGCTTCTTTGATGATCTGATATGACACTCAGTGCAAAGTCTATTTTGGCATCATCTGGGAGTGGGGGGAGTCAAATACCATAATTCCTAGAAAAGAGCTGTTTAGTGTCTAGTGCAATCATGTGTAAATACTTGATCAGAACATATTTGATGGGTAGAAGACACATAGGGCTAACATTAGTTTTTGAATAATCCAAAGCATAAAAAAACATTTCAGCAAAATAAATAAAACAAAATGAGACATAGTATGAATCCATCACTTCTCTTTCCCCAGCTATGGATAAATAGCGGGACAACTGAATCCTATAGCCTTGGTTGGCATCCAGTCTAAGGGCAATTCTGAATTCAAAACTCAAGGGTCATTTGGAGACCTTGTGGCAAACTGTGTACCTCAGTTCTCTTTATTCAGTTCTTCCAAAAAGTGTGCACAAGCCTTCAACATTATTATCAAATCATCTATGTTCGGTTCTAAGAACTCAGCTACTGGATCCCATATGTCAAAGACAACAGGAGAATCTATTTTATATATGTAATTTGAAAAGCTTACATTTTGACATATTCCACTGATGGATTGACTTCATCAGAAATAAAATTTTATTTCAAAATCTATATTTGCAAGACCTATTTAGCATTCTACCAGATTTTCATCAAAACGTTCTCACCCTCTCTCTCTTTATATATATATATATATATATATATATATATATATATAATTTGTTTGTATGTAACATTTATAATAAATAAGTATTGCTTTACTATTGGTATTGAGATCTCTTTTAAGTTAATGCTATGAATGTTTGAATTTGTTCTTTTCATTCTCATTACATTTGAATGAAATATATGTATATATATATATGTATATATATGTATTTATTGTCCTCTGATGTGACAACTTATGTGCACAAAGGAGAGGGGGTGCTGAAACTTCAAACTTTTAAATTAATCACTCTTTTTTTCTTTTTTTTTTTAAATATGTATTTGGATATATAGTCTAGCCAATTTCATATAGTCTATTATTCTTTTTGTTTGTTTTCATCCCTTTTGTTATTAAGCATCCCACATTGTGATAATAGATGATCTGCTGACAAAGGTGAAATGTTGTAAGAGCCTGGACCCAAATTTACTGTAGATAATCTAGCAATTAAAGCACTTTCTATACAATTTTGTCTTAGTAAATTGCTTTCACTTTTAATTAGAATAGCATTTTTTAAATTGAAATTATAGTCACTCATGTTGAGTAACTAGTGCACTGAGTGTGTTGTTTTTCTCATATAAAACATTAGTTTTATCCTTTTGGCTTGCCTACGAAGCAATTTACTTAATGACACCAAGTGAAAAATAGGAAAAAGGAAAATTTGAAAAGTTAGCTTATCAAATATCCTATCTTAAACTCTTGGTTATTCTTCAGCTTTTGAATAAAGGAGATGTTTGCATAAAAAAAATTGCAAGATGTTTATTGTTGTTGTTTCATTTAGGTTCTGGTTGATTTTCCTCCTCCCGGTGTACCCATGAGCCCCCGTGAAAGTCAGTACCAAGAAAAGATGGAGGATTTCTTTACAGACACTGCCTGGATGGAGGCTGTCTTTCAATTTGCAGCATCATTACTGCAATATTTACAATCTTTGATGCTGTTCCCATGGCAACCATCTGTACCGCTTGAATCACAAACAGATGTCTGCAGGTTCATTATACTAACACTAGAAGTATGTACAACTGTTTTGTTTTCTCTCTTGTCTCTTAAATTGTCAATCATTTTCTTTAATTTTTTTTACTTTATCTACACTAGTTGGATTCATAGCTGATCTCTTTGCTTAATCAGTTTCATAAAGGGGACAAAGAAGCTATCGTTTCATAAAGGGGACAAAGAAGCTATCGTTTCATAAAGGGGACAAAGAAGCTATCGTTTCATAAAGGGGACAAAAAAGCTATCGTTTCATAAAGGGACAAAGAATCGTTTCATAAAGGGGACAAAAAGCTATCGTTTCATAAAGGGA